TTCCTCTCAGATACTTTCCTGCTGACTTGTAAGCTTTTCTTGATTTCGTATATTTCAATGGATAATTCAGATGTGCATTTTTTCATTTTTGTTAAAGAGTGTTCATTGGGTAAAAGCGGCGCAGGATCATAAATGGCCCCCACACTCACTTTGTTCTTCATGTTGGTCCTTTTGGCTGGTTTAAGGCTTCTCTCATTTTTGTTCCATGACAAATTCAGAAACTTAGATGTGCATGGTATTGCCACCCTAGTCATTCTATCATTTTCACCCTTGTGTTTTTTTGGGCTGTGATTACAAGTGGTGGGACTCAAGTTACACTAACTGAAAATAGTCCCTAAGTGTCTTCAGTAATCTGATACTGCATGGCACATGGGGAACCGTTTATAGATCATTTTATTTTCTCATTATCTACACACAGTATTGTGTTAGATATCCAAGTGCTTTCTGAACAATCTCCATCTCATGTGCAGGGCTCACTGATCAGCCATGGAGCAGAACAAAGCTCTGGAAGATGGAGAAGGAGGAGACAGCAAATGTATCAGGTATGTTGTCGGGGTTGAGGGGTGGTTAGTGGTTCAAGTGATGCTGAAAAGGGAGTGTGGCCAGGAGAGGCAGGTGTTTAGATGGCTCAGCCGTTAATAGCTCTTGCTGCTCTGAAGAAAGGATGGGTTTCATTCTTAGCACCCTTATGGTGGCTGACAACCATCCTTAGCTTCATTTCCAGAGGTCTGATTCCTTGTTGTGACTTCAGCAGGCACCTGGCACAAACAGCACATGCATACATGGTGCAGAACACTGACGCCCATTAGCTTAAAACACAAACTCTGAGGAAAAAAATTTAAAACTGCGTTTGAGACATGAGATTGGTTTTGCCACATTCTGTTTCTCTAGAAGTGATTTGAGTATTCTACTGTAAACAATTTCAAGATTATCCTGTTTTACATGCCACTGACTTTATGTGTAAGAATTAATACCAGGAGAAAACATAATTTATACGACTGTGCACATCAGAGACGATGTCCCCATTTGATTCTTTCTCTCTGTTTCAGTATTAAATGATTTTCCCTACTAAAGTTTATCCTCTTTTAAAACTAGGGAAATCATGCGTTAGGCTTGTTTCCTGGTCTTCCCCTTTGACATTTTTGGTACTTTCTTTAAATTCTATTCCTTTAATGGTCACATTTCCCATTTTCTTAAATGATGCCTTCAGGACTTTGATAAGAATTGCTTAGTATTTCTGTAGACTTAAATTCGTCTTTATTGTCTTCCCATTGATATTGCCTGTTGTCTTTCTTCACATCAATACTTATGTTGTTTTTATTTGCTATAATTTTAATAGATTTTGAAATCTTCGTGCAGCTGGAATGCTGAATGTGGAATGCGGTTTATTGAGGGATGGAGTAGGCTTATATGCTGACTCACAGCACAGTGGAAAACAATCAAGGGTCAAGTGTGCAAGTTCTCAGGCTTAATTCCTCCCCAGCAGATGTGTGTTAGCAAATCAAGAAGAGAACCACGAACTACTCTGGTGCAAGATGTTCCAGCCAATAGGTCAGGCTTGCTCAAAGTACCTCAGGGGTCCATGCAGGGCCCTACAATGGCTGTCCATTTTCCTAACAATCGTGGTAATATGCTGTGAAAGGTTGACATTTTGAGTATGTGGCAGAAAATCATGAGTCAGTGGAATTGAGTGTTGTGAGAATTTGAGTGTTATATGAGATTTTAGGGACACGTGTGAGGCTGGAACGTCACTGGAATAAGTTCAGAGAGAAACAACATGGGGCTCTTTGGGGTACATGAACACAGTGTATGACTCTTCAGAGATTGGGTGCATGTGTTAAGAATTGAAATTTTCTGTATATTCTGTTCCTCAGCCAATAGAATTGCAGTTATGAAAGTGTAAAAAAACAAACAAAAAAAGAATGTTTTATGTTCTTTGTCTTCCTCAGTGTCCCCAAACTTTCTATATCTCACCAATCCAGAGAGACATAGATTCTGACAGGCTCTTAAGTTTGTCATTAAGTCTGCGGAATTATTTTATGTGCAGAAAAAATTTCCCTAAGGAGAAAAATATACCAGAAATAATTTATAGTTTTGAGGTACAAGGGAAGATACTGATTACAGACTTAGCCATAGAGGGAGATGGCAGGGGTGCTAACCAATCTGTTGCATGACCTTACTGGTAGATTTCAGAGGCCCATGCTACGTCCTTAGACAAGCCTCGCCTGGCAGGTTGGTAGGGTGGCATTCGAAATACACATCTTGGTAAGGCTATTAGTAACTCTTCTCTCCCACAAGCTCATAACCCTTTTATTAATTAATTAATTAATTAATTAATTTGCTATGAATGCTGCTGTCAGGGCATCTAAGATATTTCTTAGATGGCTTTATGACTTATTTCAGGGCTTTATGGCTTATTTAAAAGATTATCAGGCCTTGATCTAGTTCGTAAGGATTTCTACCGACGATGAGAGATGTGGTTTCGTTGCAACTCTTCTATACATGGATAATCAATTTCCCGGTCTCTCTTTCCTGGGTTCATCTTTGGCATATTTGGCATACATTACCTCTCCACTGTGTGTTTACTTTTAGGATTTCTGTTCTGTTCAGTTTTCTACATGTTTCTTTATATGCAGGGCCATGATGCCTTTACTCTTGTGCTTCTGTGGTAAGATGCCTATCAGGTCCTGTGATACCACCACGAGCACTCTTTCTTTGAGCTCATGGCTTTTCTGTGTTCATGTTTTCCTATCTACTTTTGTGAAAAATGTCAGTAGTTTGCTGCTATGGATTGCCTTGATTCTTCCCTTTGCTCTTAGTAATATTACTGTTTTCACCACGCCATTTGTCAGTCAAAGTGTGTGCAATCCCATTTCCTGTCTACTCTTATTTGTCATTTTTTTCCCGAGTGCCTTAAAAAGCTCATCACAGAAGTGAAGCAACCTGAATGGGTTACATTTCTAATTTACTTCTCAAGTTGTCAGTATTGATATATGTAGGGAAACTAGTGGTTTTATTTTGCATTAGTTTCATATTTTTCAATAGTACTTAAAGCACTTATTAAGTCTAAGATTTTCCCATGGTAACTGTGTGGCATTGCATGTATGACTTCATCATCATTAAAACTGAGTTTGAAATCTTGCTTTCCTAACTATTCTGTTTATTCTTTGTCTTATTCGGATTTCTCTAGTACACTCTTATGTCTCTTGATTCACTAAGACTAGAGAGCACAAGCATCTTCCTCTCCTCACAGTTTTCTTGCCAATGCTGTTCAATTTTTCTGTGCATTGTATTGTTGGCCTATTTGTGACACATGTGCCCATTTACTGTGCCGAGCCATGTTCCATTTATACCTAGTTCCTTTAGGAGTTCATTACAAAATCTTGTTGAACTTTGTCTTTTGGCATTTCCATCCTATTCTGATGGATAAAATTATGAACTGCAGTGCTGTGTGAATGGATGACCTATAAGTGTACTTCCTTCTCCATGAATTTTAATGGACAGCGTTTCTGGGTACAGTATGGTTCATAGTTATTTCCTTAAATATATGATTCCCTGCTCTCTTGTTTGCAGGATTGTTGATAAATTTACATGTCGTTCCATTCATGTATTTGTGATACTTTAGCAAACTAAGAAGTCCAGTAACTTAAGTCTGGCAGTCACCACATTAGAAGATGTGGTGTAATTAACACATAGTGATAGTGTTAATTACCTGTTATAATCATGTAAGGAAATAATATTGACCACTTGATAATGTTAAAAGCAAACACTGGAGCCACTCATCTCTCAGGTAAGAGAAAAGAGGAGGGCCGGCAACTGGAAACCTGTGCTGGGTAATTCAGAGATAATGCACTTCCGGTAACAGCGGGGGATTTCCAGGGCCAGAGAGATGGTCCCAAGTGCCAGAGTCCCTCATGACTTCTTACTTTCTCTGCCACAAGGCATGCCTGTGATGCACATATGACATGAAGGGAAACACTGATACACATAAATAAACACCCTCTTTTTATTCATTTAGATTTTTCTTCTTTAATATTTGCTTTTTTTTTTTTTGGTCATTTTTCTGTTGGATTGTTTTGAATGTCCTCATTATGATTTATGGTTGTTAGAATAGATGAGTCCTTTTTTTTTCACTATTGTTGTATATGAAGGACTTTTAATGTCACCTCGAGGGCCAGTTCATACCCAATGAAGGGTACTTACTTTGTTTCACAGAATGTCTGGATTTGGGCTAGTGTAATCTCTCTCTATGTCTCTCTGTCTCTCTTGGTTTTTGAGACAGGGTTTCTCTGTATTGTTTTGGACTGTGTCCTAGAACTAGCTCTGTAGATCAGGCTGGCCTTGAACTCACATAGATCCACCTGCCTCTGCCTCCCGAGTGCTGGAATTAAAGGTATGCACCACCAACGCCCACCTTGGCCTAGTATAATCTTATGAATATCCTATTTTGACATTTTTCATGACACGTTTTATGGAAGAGGCATTCTTGTGCATGAGGAAAGTGTTGGGAATTATATTGGTTTCCTCTCTCTCTCTCTCTCTCTCTCTCTCTCTCTCTCTCTCTCTCTCTCTCTCTCTCTCTCTCTCTCTCTCTCTCTCAGGCTGCAGCCCCTTCCTCTGAGAGACACATCTCAAGAGCCTCTTGGTAAATGGCAAGTTCACATAAGCTGCAATCTGCCACCATATTCTGACTGGCCTTATGCCCTTGAGGACCAAGGTAGCCCAGTTCAAGCCTGCTTGCTGCAGGCTGCTCATTTGACCTCAGTCCAAAGCTGCGCCCGAGTTCAGTTACAGCTTCATATGCACACCGTGTTGCTTCCCTGTCCTAAACACAAGTCAGAGTGACATATCTATTTTGATTGTCTATGTTAAACTTGCTTCAACAGAGCCAGCTGACCTGTCCTGGGTGCAGCAATCTTTCCCCAAAGCGGAAGAATTTCCCACAAGCCATTGCTAGTGCAGAGTGAGGGGAGGAACCGGGTTGCATAGCCGAACCGGGAATGTCGCCAACTCCAGCGTCCCTAGCGAATGGGCAGTGGACATTTGCCGTTTTAAGACGCAGAAATAGCGAGGAGGATGGGAATCCCGACAGGGCAAGGGAAGTGGGTGGGAGGGAGTCGGAGTGCACGTGACTCCGACAGGTATGTAATGGGTGGGGCCGGAGGAGGCACTGAGGAACGGAAGGAAGTAGGGACTCTAACACCCGCCATTCCCTGTGGGACCTGGACACCCTCTGTGTTCCTACCTTGAGGTGCAGAGGACAGAGGCTGGGGTCTCAGCGGGGTGTGGGTACTCCGTATAGCCACAGGTGCGGCGGGAGGCGGCCTGGGAAAGTCACAGTCAGCAGCGCAGTGGCGGGAACCGCAGCCCGGCGGCCCTGGAACCTCCCAGGTGAGAGGAGCTGCGGGGCTGGGACCCAGGAGGGAGGGGACCAGGGGTGCAACTGTGGAACATTGCTGTGGATGTCTTTCCCTTATCGGAAATTTCACTTTATGTGAACTGGGCCTTATACTGATTTTAACCCCCTCATGGTTGCCAGACTATTTACAGAATAATCTAATAGAGGACTTTGCATTATCTTTTGTTTGCAAACAGGGTTCTCTTTGCCACTGTGGCACTTGCTAATCGCCTAGAATTTAAATTCAACCATGCTTTCTAAATCCCGTGTTTTACTGCTTTTGTAGTAAAGAGAGTGAGTGTGTGACCTTTGCGCCTAGGGACCAGACATCGCTAGAGAACTTTTTATACATTAATCAGTCACACTAGGAGCCACTGCAGATCTTATGGAATCAGAAAGTATATTTTAGCAAGCTTTAGAGTTATGATTGTAAACGTTAACATTTACTTAACAAACTTTTCAATGCCCATTTGTTTTCCACCTGGGATGTATGCACTCTAAGGTGTAAGAAAATACAGCATTCAGAAATGTGTTTTCAAATGGTTAATTCTTAAGATGCACCTTAGGTTCTGGAAAAGCACAGTATGTATGCTAAGAAATCATCTTTTAAATAATTCCGATCACTCAACTATATGAGAAAAAATTTTCTCTTCTTGTTCCAAGAAAAGCAGTCCGCCCATGGACACATGGCCCCGTTGGCAAACATGTTCTTGTTTGGTTCTGGCTTTGTTTTGTTGAATAAGTATCTCAATCCTGCCCTGTCTGGCTAAGGACTCACCATGTACACCAGTCTGGTCTCCCGTGGGATCTTCCTCCTTCTACATTCTGAATGCTGGAATTAAAACAGTGCAAAAGACAGGTGGCTCAAACACTCACTCCCTTTATTTTTAATTTCAGGATTTGTTGAGAGTGACTGTGGACTTCTTCCAGGAGGAGGGACAATGCCTGCAGCCTGCTGGGGGTGGGGGCTTTGTACTGAGAATGGACGCTACAGAGTTTCAGCAACCTGCTTTCTGTGGGTGAGAATAGTTTGCTTGCAGTCTCCCTTGCTGCTCCTCAGGGTTCTGGGGAAAACTGCTCTTCACGTGTATGAGTTTTCTGTGAATGAGTGTCCTTCTGGCTGGTTTAAGGCTTTTTCTTTTTTGTCCCATGGTAAGTTCAGAAACGCAGAGGTGTATGATAGTGTCATTGCAGCCATTCGGTTTCATCTCCGATTGAGTTGTGATTAGAAGTGGTGGACTCAAGTTATGCTAACTGGATATGGCCCCTGGGTGTGTTCAATGCTCTGACCCTGCATGAGATCTGGGGAAACATTTGTAGGACCCTCTATTTTCTCATTATCTACTGAACTTAGAGCATAGTGCTGTGTTAGAATTCTAGGTGCTTTCTGAAGAATCTTTTTATCCTGCAGGTCTCACTCATAAGCTAGACCTGAGAAGCCTTTAGAAAGCGGAGAGAAAGGAGGCAGTAGTAGCAAATGTACCAGGTATTTTGGAGGGACTGAGTTAGATGTGGCTAGCTGTTCAAGCCATGTTGAAAGCCAGGGTGTTTAGGTGGCTCAGCTGTTAATGGCCCTTGCTGCTCCAAAGCGGACATGGGGCTCATTCTCAGCACCCACATGGTAGCTGACTACCCTTAATAACTTCAGGATAGAGGTCTGATGCCTTTTTCTGATGTCAGTGGGTGCCAGACACAAACTAAGTACACATATACATGCCACAGAGCACTGATACCCATCAGCTTAAATAAAAATCCTAAAGAAAATATTTAAAAAGCCAAGAAAATGCAAATGAGACATGCAATTGGTTTTGCCATATTATTTTTCTAAAAATGTTATTTTGTAATATTCTACTATAATCTCATCAAGATTATCCTGTTTTACATGTCACTGGCTTTATATGTAAGAATTAATGCCAGGAGAAAACATAATTTATATGACTGTGTATGTCAATGATAAAATCCCCCATTTTATTCATATATCTTTTCTCTCTTTGTTTCAATATTAAATGATTTTCCCTACTATAATTTATCATCTTGTAAAAGTAGGGAAATCCTGCCTTACGCTTATTTGCTGATCTTCCCCTTTGACATTTTTGGTAGTTTCTTTAGATTCTATCCTGAATTGGTCACATTTTCCATTTTCTAAAATGATGCCATCAGGATTCTGCTAAGGATTGCTTAGTGTCTCTGCAGGGTTTTAAACATGTCTTTATTGTCTTCCCATTGATATTGCTTGTTGTCTTTCTTCACACCAATACCCAGTGGTTTTTATTGCTTTAATTTTTAATAGATTTTGAAATCTTGGTTTGATCTTGCAGAAATCTCATTCCTTATTAAGTGAATTGATTGGAATCTTTACATAAGAGAAACTTCCTTGCTAATTTGTGTCCTCATGTTTAATGAGAACATGAAAGCCATGTGTCAGTATTCACATGCTATGTATATGTATCATTCTGTTTTCCATCTGCTATTTCTGTTCACATGCATGTTGGCCATTTTTGCAAGAAAGGACTGTAATTAATCATCTCATAGGAAACCACATTTATAATATAGTTGAATCTCATGTGAATAGTTTGCTTATGTGATTATTGAAGAAACACCTCACTGACATACATGATAGCTACAGTAAGTTGGATTCTCACTGATACTGTGTCTCTTGAGTTCATTCTGTTGTATTTTCTGCAGGATTGATTCCATTGAACCCTTGGATGTGGCCATGGACTAGGCAGACAGGGGATCTTGGTACACATTGGGTGAGCATTTATTTCATGACTAACAGTGTAAAGCATTTTAAATGTTTACTAATTGGACATTGTAATTGACTTTTAGCATGATCTCTTAAAGATATTTGCTTCTTAATTGAAATGATTTTTATTTGCTTATGTCTTTATTATATGAGATAGTCTACGTATTAACCTGTCATACTACAAATAGCTAGCTAATATGTTTAGCTCAGTTCCACTGCTCCAGCTCGTACGTGAAGGTCTTTGATGTACTGTATAGTGAGAGAGAGTCAGGCCTAGATTCATATTTTCTGCCTGGATAGATGTTTTCCCATCACCATGATTTGGTGGAGTTGCTCATTATGAAAATGCATGTCTTATTTTGGTGACATCCACATGGTCATTGCTGTTGCTCTGCTTCTGGATCTGCTGCTCTGTTGCATAGGGCTATGTATCTATCTACTCGTTGACACTCGAGTGTTCTGATGGTCATCTGGAATGACAGGTGGGATAACTGAAGATCTCTTCTGTGTACCTGGCCTGTTCTATACACTCAGGTTCTTAGTGCTTCCTTGCACATTTAGTCTTCTTCTACTTTGTGGATACTGTTTAATGCTAATCACCCTATTCCCTCTCTTCTCTGTGTTGTGTAGGATTTGTATCAAGTCATATGGATTTCCTCTTCATGGCTGGGCAGTCAGCAGTCACTCATTATCTGCATATGACCAGTTAGCAATCCCTGAAATAACTGTTGCCCATTGCAAACAAAGTTGTCTGACCCTGGCTGAAAGCTGACTGCGGAAGGCTATGCTGTGACCAGAGCCAAGTCAAAGCAGTTTGAGTATTTCTACATGTAGGAAAATGTCATGAGTGTATTGTCTCCAATGGCCTGTCACTCTGCCAGTCATAGGCTCTTGGCCATATTTCCAGTGCATTGTATATATTGCCTTCTCTGGAACTGGCTCGCAGTTTAAACAGAAACCATTTCTTTACACAGAAAACTGTCTTCAGGTTATGACACTGTTTTAGGAAATCAAAGGTTGCGGGGGGCGGGGGGGAACCCATCAGACTGCGATACAGGAGACAGCTCTACCATGCAATGCTGGCACACGGAGGATCAGCTAGTATATGTCTAAAAAATGAATCCCAAGTTCAGTTAAACATAGAGTTTCTGTCTCCCTATATGCCTCCAGACCTTCCCCATATCCCACCAATTCAGAGAGGGACAGATTCTGTCTGCCTTAAGTTAGTTTAATAGAGTCTGTTGAATAATCTCATATGCAGAAAATTATCCTAAGGTACAAAATATACCAGAAATCATTTATATTTCTGAGGCTCAAGGAGATATATTGGTTACAAACTAGACAAAGTGGGATGCCACAAGGGTGCTGACCAGTTTCCGGTAGCTCTCGTCCACTGTCCTATATCAGTGGAATAGGATACAGTCTCTAGCAGGGTGGTAGTATGGCACAGTTGACCCATATCTAGGTCAGCTCATTGATGACTTTCCTCGCCCACTGGCTTGCAAAGTACTTTCTGGCACTTTGAATGTTGTCATCAGGGCATCTAAGATTATTTCTTAGATGCTATGCTGGTTTTAGTGGTCTGCTATTTTCTCTTCCTCATCTTGCTGATATGTAAAATACCACCTGATACAGAGGATGGGTTTCATGGCTTCTTTCAAAGATTATCAGATGCTGGATATTTATCATTTCTGAAGTTGAGAACTGTATTTCTTACAATTTGGAATAAGTTGCTACCTGACTTCTATTAACTCCTTTAGCTTGAGTATTTTCTCTTTCCTTCTTGCTCTGGGTAACAATTGATGCACTGTGCTGAGGTAGTGTGGACAGACGTGGACACCTGTGTGCCTGTCCTGAGGAGATGGAATCCATTTTACGTGTGGTTTTTAATTTTTATAATGCTGATGCATGTTTCTCTTATTCCCAGATTCTTCAACTCTTTGATAATGGCAAATGTGATAATTTCTCACAGGTGTTTGATGGATTTATTGACATGATCACCTTCCTTCTGTTATAATCTAGGTATTTATTGTCTTAAATTGATAGATCTGTACCTGTTGGAACAGTTTTGTATACCTCAGCATTGGAGGGTAATATTGGTACTTTCTGCAACCTCCGAAGGGATGTCTACTGTTTGCAGTAGTTTGCATTCTAACAGGAGTTAGAACAAACTTTGCCATTTCCTCATATACGTTCCTGGGCACTTGATTATATTTGTTTTTGTTTATTATTTTGGGGTGGAGTCAGGGTCAGGGAGATTCATTATATAGCTGTCATCGTTATGAAAATTAGTATGTATACAAGGCTAGCATCTATTGCAGTAAATAAGGATCAGGATAAACAAATAGGCCGAATAGATGTTTATTCAGGGAGAAATAACTTACAACCTAGACAGATGAACACCAGGAAATTCAACCCGATCCTCTCCTCTCCGAGTCACGCCAGAAAGAGCGCCTTTCCAGGCCCCCTCCGACCTCCTTCCACAGGTCACTTCCGCCCATGGCTCCACCCCCCAATGGGCGTGGTCAGTGCCACAGAAGGACTATCTCACTACAAGCATCAAATCAGAATTATAGTTGCCTCTGTTGTTCCCCCTACAAGCCTTCTTTATTTCCCTTTGTTTTAGTTATTTTTATATTATTTAATGTATACATTTGTTTTGGCAGCATGTATGTCTGTTTGCCTGCTGCCTTTGGAGGTCAGTAGAGGACATTAGGTCCCCTGGTAGAGGCCCTGAGTTCCCTGCATGTTGGTCCTGGGATTTTAACCCAGGTAGTCTATAAAAGCATTAAGTGTTTTTAATGACTTCGACAGCTCTCTGGCCCCCAATTTGTTTTCTTTGTGTTAGCCATTCTGGCTAGGGTGAGATGGAATATCAGTTGTGTTCTTTTTAATTCCATCATGGCTGAGAATTATGAACACACTAAATGGTATTTTGTGGGAGATCTGGAGATCTTTGAAGCTACTGATAGTGGGATGTATCCCAATTTATTTCTCAACTTGCTCATTATTGGTATATTCTAAACTGGTGAGTTGTGTATAATAATTCTTTATATTTTAATAGTACAAAGGCATTTGTCAACTATAAAAGGGTGTGTTGCTATCTTCAGGTAGGTTATATATGCAATCACATAATTGTTGATAAGGTTAAATTAATGTTGTCCTTTCTTATTGTATCCCTTTGTTTCTTTGTCTCTTTGAAATGTCTGTGGCTAGTCCTGTCATTATTATTGCTACCTGTGTATGGATAGTTGTTCTGCATGTATGTCTGTGCACCACATATGTGGAGTGCCCACAGAGGCCAGAAGAAAGCATGGGATCCCTGGAACTAGAGTTACAGTTTTGTGAGCTGCAAATTGGTTGCTGTTCTAGAAGCCCAGTTCTCTGGAAGAATAGCCAGTGCTCCTAACCACCAAAACTCACTCTATCCTCTCTAGCTAGTTTAAAACTCTACTTTAAATGTCACTGGGGAAAGACCTGGAAGATAGAAGCTCCCTGTCTGCTTGCCCTCACTTTGCTAGCACATCTATTCCTTCACTGGCATTAGAGCCTACGTCCTTGGGATTCCAGCATATCTGGAAGACCAGCCGAGACATTTAGTCACTTTGGCCATTGTTTGGTTAGCTGGATTGCAGCCTATAAACCTTGTAATAAATCCTAGGTCTCTCTATTTGTTGAGAGATTCAATCTACAAGTTGTGCTACTCTAGAGAACCCTGATGATAGAATACACCTCTCCTGTGTGCTTTGGTTTCTGCTGGGTAGGATTAGTGAAGCTGTTGAGTTATGTCTGTTTCCTTCATCAAAGCTGAGTATTTCTCACCTATTGCTTCATACTGTAGATGGCAGAGCTACAAAGCTTGTTTTCTTCTTGTTGTCTTAATTTTGTTGATAGTATTAATATCCTAATTTAGTTGTCATAATGCTTATCTCAATGAGTGTTATTTGAATTCCTAGTATACTTAATAAATATCCATGGTTGTTTCTGAGAGAATTTGGTATTTTATTTACCTAGATTCTCTGAATACTTTCTCAACTATTGTTTAAAATCGATCATTTAGGGGCTAGCAAGATGGCTCCATGGTTAAGAACACTGGCTGGTCCTGAGTTCAATTCCCAGCAACCACATAGTGGTTCACAACCACCTGTAATAAGATACGGTGCCCTCTTTTGGTATGCAGGCATGCATGTAGGCAGAACACTATATACATAATAAACAAATCCTTAAAAATTGGTCATTTAAGAAGTTTGGCTGCTGTCTGTTATTTCAATATAATGGAAAAGCGTAGAAAAGTTCCCCCGAATCAGCTGTCCTCTATCCCATCTATTCTTTATGTAAAATTATCTTGTTTCCTGTGTTCTCATGGATAATTTCTCTCTGATTTTTCTAAGTATAATTTGCCTCTCATTATGATCTGCATTGCTGCCTGAATGGATGATGTGTTATCTAACAACTTTCTTCAACTGCACTTCTCTATGAATTTGAAGAGCCAGTGTTTCTGAGTACAATGATAGGGTTCACAGTCATTTTCTTTCAGCACTCCAAATAGATCTTTCTGCGCTGTCCTTTCTATAGGAATGTTGACAAGACCTTTGGCATTGTCCGTGACAGAGTTGGATTAATTTTAGTTTTATATTTTTTGACTCCTCAATGTGAAATGTCAAGAAGCATTCCAGTCTTTGTTCCTGAGACAGAAACTCAGAGAAGAACAACAGGGAGAATGGCTGCTTCCCCGGTAAATGTGGCCCAGGTTGGTGTTGTGTCTAGATTCATTTGAAAATTATTTTTCTGTTGCAACCATTCTTTTAATTCTCTGCCTCTGGCAGTGTCTTCTAATGTGTTTATTTCATATATATATATATTGGATTTCACTCAGTGATGATGTTCCTATGGGTGTGTTAACAGCTGAAATCTATTTGTCTTAGGAGAGGTTCTGCTCATGTCATGGTCTTGTTTCCACTGTTCAGTGTAAGGTCTCAAAAAAAAAAAAAAAATCAGTATTTTCTTTTGGTCTTTTGTTTTTCAGACAGGGTATAAGCAGTCCTGTCTCCACCTCCATGTAGAGTATATTAGTAAGAATTTTCTAGAGAGTATTGACTTTGTGCTGTGCATAAGCCATGGATTTTCAAATATAAACAAATGTCCCTCTTAATGACTTTCCTCTTTCCTCTTTTCCTTTCTTTTGGAGGAGGAAGACTCACTGTATTTTACAATTTTTTTTTTTCCTTTCCCTGAAGCTATGTATTATGCAGTTAGAGATTCAGAAGAAAGGTGGCAATGGACAGGTTTTCATTTCTTTATTTAACTTTTTTTTTAAGTAAAGCAGTGTTCATCTGCATGTTTTTGTGTGCATTATATGCCTGAGTGATGCCTCATGGCCATAATTCTGAGGTAGGCATCAAACTCTTGACACTAGAATCAGTCACTGTAGTGAGCTACCATGTATGTAGAGAGAATTAAACTGGGTTCTCCTCAGGTACAGCAAGTAACCTTTACTTCTGAGCCATCTTTCCAGTCCCCAGGGGGACTGTGGGTTTGTGGGTTATATTTCTGCTTTGTGACAGAGCCAGTATATAACCTGGCATTTTCTATTTTTTTGAAAAATAAAGGAAGAATCATAATGATACTTGTCTGTTCAACTTAAACTCATGTTACATGATTGAGCTCAAATACTGAAGAATAAAGGTGAGCTTACAAATTTTCTTTTCTTTTTCACTTTTTGTTGTTGTTGTTGATTTTTGGGCTTTTTGAAACAAGGTTACTCTGTGTTTCCAGGGAACATGCTCTGTAGACCTCAGGTTGGCCTCAGATACACAGAAATCTACTTTCCTCTGCCTCCTGTGGGATTAAAGGCATGTAACACTACTGCCCGGCTAAGATTCAAATTTTCAATTGAGCCAATTTCAGGAGCAATGTTATATTCAGAAGAAATGAAGAGTTAGTATAATTTAATTATTCTGTAGTGAGACCCCATATGGAATTTCTGAACTTGGTATTCATCTTGGTTGTGTGGAGTTTTAGTAAATTTTAGATAGTATTAACGCTGTCTAATGCTGTTTTTTTGTTTACTTCATGGTTGTCAAAATTTTCTTATAACATCACGAAGTTTTCGATTCTGTATTTTGTTTGGCATGTTGCATGTATGCACTGATGTTATACTGTTAAAAAAAAAAAACTGTTTTGACTATTAACTAACCCATAAATTCTTCATCCATGTTCTTTGTTCTAGAAACCATACAGCATCACACCTAGGCCTCAGCATCTGACCTGAGTATTTAGATTAGAGCCATGTGAGGCCCAGCTGCAGACAGTAGTGATCCAGTGTCCATATTTAAACAAGGTCGAAGCCCAGTTGTAAGGAGTAAGGTTTTTTCCACCTGCCACCGGTCTTGTCCCCCCGCCGCGCCAGCCCCAATTAACACAGAGACTCTGTATTTGATATAATGCTGTTGGCCCATTACTAGTTTCTTATCGGCTAGCTCTGTCTTAATTATTAACCATTTCTATGTATTTCCACGTGGTCTTCTTACCAGGCAGTGGGGCCGACATCTCGTCTCCCCAGTCTCTCCATGTTGACTCCTCCTTCCTACTTCCTCTTTCCTCCTTGTCTCCTAGTCCCTCCTATCTTCCTTTCCTATTGGCCAACAGTGCTTTATTCATTAACCAGTATGAGAAACATATTTACAAAACGACATCTCCCATCATCCAGTAGATATGGAAGAGTAGGTATGAATGATGAGTTTTGCTCATCATAATTTGGCCATCTGAGAGGAGATACTATGATCCTATTTAATTTCATCACAGCCTTTGTAGAGTTACATTCCTGCATCTAGATCTTAAGTGTCCACCTTATATTCCCAAATTTGCTGATTATGAGAAGATAATGTCATCCTCTTTTCACCAAGATAGAAAATACAACAGAGAGCATGACTATTCTAGAAAGTGTCCTTTATTAATATTAACTTGCACTTTTATTTTATGTGTTTGAGTATACTTGCTTTAATGTATGTGTGAACGCTATGCCTGTAGAGTTCAGGAGACAGCATCGGATTTGATGGAACCATAGTTGGAATCTGGTGTTTAGCACCATTTGGGTGCTGGGAACCCAGCGTGAGTCCTCTGGAAGAGCAGTCCATGCTCTTTACCTCCGAACCATCTCTCTAGCACCTCTAGAAAACTTTTGTTTTTGAATAATTGTCACACCTCATCTGTATCACCAAGAGTATCTATCTAATTCTTTAGGTCTCTTTGGCCTAGGAAAACTTTTATTTTTCCCTAACAGCACATGGTAAATGGGTAATTTTCTATTACAGGATCTGTTAACATTCAGGGATGTGACTGTGGAGTTGTCCCAGGAGGAATGGGAATGTCTGGACTCTGCTCAGAGGACTTTGTACATGGATGTGATATTGGAGAATTATAGCAATCTAGTCTTTGTAGGTAAGAATACCCTTCTTGTAGTAATCCTCATCCATTCTTTGTATTTATCTAATTTGTGTGTATGTAAACTCCCTGAACTGCCTAGAGATAGCCAGAAATAAGGGACATTTTGATAGTGAACATAACCTTTTCTTCCTTCCTTCCTTCCTTCCTTCATTATTTATTGATTTCTTGGTTTTTTGAGACACAGTTTCTCTGTGTAGCTTTGGAGCCTGTCCTAGAACTCACTCTGTAGACCAGACTGGCCTTGAACTCACATCGATCCACCTGCCTCTGCCTCCTGAGTGCTGGGATTAAAGGCATGTGCCACCACTCCCAGCCTTTTGCAGTTTTTAAGGAAAATTTTAACGTTCAAAGAAAGCTGAATATTCTGAGCAAGAAAATGCATTGTTGTACACTTAGTAATTGAATTAATTTTACTTACTATTAAATTTAAACTGTTTACCTATTTCTGATTTTTTAAAAAAATATGGAGAATTTTAAAGCTAAAGCGCTGTTGCTGGTAAGCATGTTGTGTTCTTATTTATTGATTTTTTTCACATATAGTCTATAATCCTGGCACAGCATGATTTTAATCCTAGCATTAGGAATTGCTGAAGCAAGAGGACCTGGCAAGTTCCAGGCGACACTGGTTTATATAGTGAGTTCCTAGCCCCTGAAGGCTACATAATGGACCCTGTTCCAAAAACATAAACAACAAGAAAGTAGAGAAACATTTTTCCTATGATGCTTCAGAGAGCTCCTGCCTCAAAATCCATTATTGCTTGGTTACCCATGTGTCCAGCCTCTGAAAGGTAGGCAGGTTAGATAAGAATGAGAAGGCTATTACCGATCCTTTTGTTTTGATAGCGATCAGAATAGAGCTTAAATTTAATGATAGTGAAGCACAAAAGGCCTCTGCTGAGAACTCTGTTCCTAAGAATTGCTAGCTTACTTGTCTTAGAGAATGTGAGGAAAAGCTATTGAATCTGTTACTTATGCATTAATTCCTATTATTCATGATTGTGCTAACTTTCCAGAGAACCATTGTATATGTGGAAATTGTGAAAAATTCCTGGATCAAGGCTCAAAACATATTGTTCATCATCATGTGAATATCCAAGAGATTTCTTGTAAATGTAATGAGCTGGGCAAAATGATTAATGAATCCTCCCAATATACACCTTATGACGTGAGTGATACTGCAGAAAACTATAATAAATTCAGATGTGGTAGCCACAAGGATGCTTCTGTTGAGTCATCAGTCATAAAAAGACCTAAAAGCGAGGACTCTGGAGAAGATACTTGCAAATTTAAAGACTGTATAAATTGTTTAAATTTGTTTCCTATTAGTCAAAATCAAAGGATCCACTCGAGCCTCAGTATACATCAGAAAAATCATTCTGGAGAGAAACCCCACAAATGTAATGCCTGTGGCAAATGCTTTTATCACTTGTATCAGGTTAAATACCATTACAAAACCCATACAGGAGAGAGATCTTACAAATGCAGTGAATGTCACAAACACTTTAGTCAGCTGACACACCTAAGAAGCCATCAGACAATTCATACAGGGGAGAAACATTACAAATGTAATGAATGTGGCAAAAGCTTTAGCCGAGTAACATACCTAAGAACCCATCAGAGAATTCATACAGGAGAAAAGCCTTACAAATGTAGTGAATGTGACAAATGCTTCATCCAGAAAGCTCAACTTACAATACATCAGAGAATTCATACAGGAGAAAAACCTTACAAATGTAGCGAATGCGAGAAATCGTTTACATGTTGCTCAGGTCTTAGAAAACACCAGCGAATTCATACAGGAGAGAAACCTTACAAATGTAGTGAATGTAAGAAATCCTTTACCAGTGGCTCAGATCTTAGAAGACATCAGAAGATTCATACTGGGGAGAAACCATACAAATGCAGTGAATGTGACAAATGTTTTATTCAGAAAGTCCAACTTAGAATACATCAGAGAATCCATTCAGGAGAGGAACCTTACAAATGCAGGGAATGTGTCAAAGTCTTTACCCACCTGTCAGGTCTAAGAAAACATCAGAAAATTCATAGTAGGGAAGGAAAGTTTCCATTAATACATAATATGGCACAGGCTTAGGGACCATTGCAGGCTCCCCACTAGAGAATCATAAACATGAGAAGCTTCTGAAATCCTGTAAGTGATGTTCAAATCTTAGAAAACATCACCAGTTTCTGTTGAGGGAAAATTATTCAAATGTGATGATGTAGGAAAATTTTCATTAAGACAGTCTCTCTTTTCACCCTCAAATACTTCATAATGTAGACAAAATGGAAAAGGCTGAAGAATATGCTGTTGTGTGACCATTTCCTGGAGACTGAAATGTTCCATCACGAAGGAAAGCCAATTAAGACAGGAAATAACCCCCCCCCCCCAGTAACTCAGGAAGTCCCTGAAACTGACAGCATTTGCATTGTTTAACTCCCATGAAGAAACTCAGATCACTCATGCGATTTAGAAAAGGCTTTGACAAACTGAACCACCAAAATAGGATGCCCTTCAACTTGTAGACATGCCTGTGGGTGTATAGTGTGCTCCAGGTATCCAATATTCATAAGTTGTATTCCATGCTGGGTTTTCATTTCTTATGGCACCTGTCTTTGATTCTCTTTTGTGAGCACCTTTCCCATATTTCTGTGAGTATCCCCAATAAAGCTCATTGGTTTGTTCAACAAGATAGACTTGAGTGGCATTCATACTTGCTTCTGTTGTCAGTTTCCATCTTGGGTGAGTAGATGCATATGTGTTACATCTCCCATACAACATGTGCTGCTGAACCCTATTAATTTTTTCCTGCCATCTTATTCACCAGAAAATTAATATTAAAGAGAAAGCATTTGGGCAACTAAATCAGGAAAGATTGTTTGTGTTCACTGCTCCAAGCTTACTGCCGTAATAGTACCTGGCCCTGTTAAAAGGGCTCAACACAGAACAGACTTTGGGAGCCTCAGAGAGGAGGCTGCTCTCTTTCTTGCATTCATGGAGAAGAGAGTGAGAGGTCTACAGGGATACATATGAAAATTGTAGAGAGCCACCAGTGCCATTCCCGAAGATGGTGCCGGTTTCCTGTCCATAAGCCAGCAAGGCGCGGATGTGTGATCCACGTCATGGGGTGACCGTTACAAGCATTGCGGGCTGCAACTGTCAGTAACGGACATGGCTCCTCTGAGCATATATAAGCAGAGCCCTTTTTCCTCCTCGGGGTCTTCCCTCAACTTGCTGTAATGAGCCGCGCAATAAACATAGCTGCAGAAGAATCCTGTTGTTGAGCATCGTTCTCGCAGGCAAGGCGATAGCGCTTGACAGAAAATACGGTTACAAAACTCAGTGACAGACATCCAAACATGGCTGAGTCCATGCACGACTCTGAATCATGATTAGAACTGGTGATTCAGTACCCTGTGGGCAAATACTGAATGCCATCGTCCTTTCCTCATGGCCTGCTGTACCTTAGGAATTCCCCTCTTTAAGTCCCAAAAAGTGAATTGAATTTCAATTTTTTTTTTTTTTTTTGCTAAATCTTTTACGTAATGCTAATATTGTAGACAGAACAGGAAAGTTGTAAAGTAAAACTCAAGCAAATGTGTTAATATTCAGCTTAATTGCACGTGTGACTCCAGTCATACAGATAACAAGAAACTACAAAGCTTTAAAAAGATAACCTACGTACATGTACAGCTTAGAATTTCTGAAAGGTGTGCTGGAAGATAATTTTGCAGTAGTGAAAAAAGTTGGGGAAGTATTTAGTGTAGTACCAAAACACTGTATTAGAATACTGATACTTGTGATGGCTATTCCTGGTTGTCAACTTGCCTACATCTATAATTAACTGTGGCACACCTGTGAGAGACTTTTGCTTAATTTGAAGTGCTAAAAATCCACTTACAATCCAGATTGTTGAGGTGGGACAACCCACCTCTAATCTGGCTCAAGCTTTCTGCTGGAAGCCTACATAAGGGCATGGAAAAAGGAAGCTGTTGCTTGTTGTTTGCTTGCATTTAACTTACTAGCAAATCCATTGCTTCACAGGCATGAGAGCCTACTTCTTTAGGATTCTGGTGTTTACTGTGGACCAGCTGAGACATCCAGCCTTGGGACTAAACAATTACCTTTTGTACACAGGTAGCCATTGTAGGACCACAGTTGGGAGAGGGAGAGAGATTGATTCATTCTTTAGTTCTGTTCTAGCAAACGAGTCAAACCTACATCCGTCTTGTAGCAGAACTTTCCAAAACGAGTCTCCCATATGGTACTAGTTTTGAAGGGTTCATGGGGAGCAGCCGAGGCTTGGCATTGTGTGGCAGGGTCAGAAGTTCCCTGAGGAGAGAGAATGTTGAGGAATGTCTAGCCGAGTTGCAGTGGAAACTCCAGCATATTGGAACTGCCAGGATCATGGGATGACTGTCACAGACAATGTCAGGTAATGAGCTTCTGAAACAAGTGTATTTTATTCGTGGCATAGTTGGAAAAGGGAAGTACTCATGGTCTTGGCCCTAGGAGATCATGAGTTCCAAACATCAAACAAAGAGCTATTTTGTATAATTGGATATTGGTTTGAATTTGATTTTATGATTATTATACCACAGCTCCTGTAACTTAGAAAAAGACATTATAGTGGTTTGAAATTAAGTGACCCCAAAGGGAGTGTCACTATTAGGAGTTGTGGCCTTGTTGGAATAGACGTGGCCTTGTTGGAGGAAGTTTGTCACTTTCTGTGAAGGTAGGCTTTGAGCTCTCATATAGCCTCAAACCACACCAAGTCAGACATACCACTTCTGTTGCTTGCAAGCCAAGATATAAGGCACTCAGTCACTTCTCCAGCATCATGTCTGCCTCCATACCTCCATGTAACATCATGATGATAATGGACTAAACCTCTGAAAATGTAAGCCACCCTAATTAGTTTTTCCTTTATAAAAGTTGCCATGGTCATGTGTCTCTTCACAGCAACAGAAACACTAACTATGACAAAAGTTCATATCAGAGACAGGTATTGCTGTGATAGACCTGACCATGTCTTTGAAGGAATATGCACCTTGAGACTGTGGATTATAAAAGCACTTGAAGTTTTAAGTGCTACTTAAATAAGCCATCCTAGTAGGAGCATGAAGCACATGAGTATTGAGTGATTTGAACTGTTGTATAGGGCTGGCTCAAAACGTTTCAGAGCAGAAGAATTTTAATATGTTGGCTAGAGATCATTCTTGTGTTATTTTGGTCAAGATTGTGACTGCTTTTTGCCCTTCTCCAGAAAGTCTGCCTCAGATTAACATGAAGAGATTGGGATTAATTCCATTGGCAGAGAAAATCTCAAAACGGCCTTGTATAGACTCTGTTGTGTGGCTATTAGTGGTAACTCTAATGAAGATATATAGTGAACAGGGGCAAGAAAATGAAATTTGAGAAGGAAAGGGATGGATTATGTCTTCTGTTTAAGGAGATACACAAAAGAATATATCTTCTTAGCACCCCATGGAACTTTCTCTAAAACTTACCACATACTTGGTAACAAAGCAAACCTCAATACATACAATACATACAAAGAAAAATTGAAATAACCCCCTGTATCTTATCAGATCATCATGGCTAATGTAAGAATTCAACAACAACACTATATCATGAAACATTAAAAACCCAGAGACAGATATTGGGGTTCAAGCTTCAAGCTGAAGATCAGAGAAGCAAAGGAGCCAACCCAGTAGATCTTACCTCTATCCAGCTGAAATGGCAATCCTGTCTCCTCGAATCCTCAGAGGCAAAAGCTCTCAGTTCCTGTCTCCTCCTACCTTGTATTTCTTTCTACACCCAGACATATCACTCCTGTGTCTACCTCATTATTGAGATTAAAGGCATGTGATCCTATGTGCTGAGATCACCTTTACGTGAGCTGTTTCTTTTAGGACTGGGTCAGTTTCATATTGTCAGTGTGGTCTTGAAATAACAAAGATCTCTCTTCCTCTTAATACTGAGTCCTGGGATTAAAGGTGTGTGCCACCAGTGCCTGGCTAGCTAGTATGGCTGCTGGCATTAAAGGTATGTATCACCACTGCCTGACTTCTATAGCTTGTGTTTGGCTTTTCTTTCTGAATCCTTAGGCAAGCTTTAATAAATCATAAATTATATATCATCACACAATACTAATTGCAGATAGCCCATAAAGTCATGGAAACTGAACGATGCTCATCTGAATCGCTACTGGGCCAAGGAAGAAATAAAGAAATTAGAGTCTTCCCAAAATTCAATGAGTATGACAGCACAACATACCCAAACTTATGGGATACAATGAAAGCAGTGATAAGAGGAAAGTTTATAACACTAAATGCCTACATGAAGAAGCTAGAGAAATTCCACACCAGGGAATTAACCGAGCAACTGAAAGCTCTAGAACAAAAAGAAGCAAACTCACCCAGGAGGAGGAGATGGTTGGGAATAATCAAACTGAGGGCTGAAATGATTAAATAGAAACAAAACAATACAAAGAATCAGTGAGACAGAGTTGGTTCTTTAAGAAAATCAACCAGATAGACAAATCTTTATCAGAACTAACCTAAAGACACAGAGAGGATATCCATATCAACAAAATCAGAAATGAAAAGGGGACATGTTGTAAGACCCTAATTCCAGGGTCCTGATGGGCCGATGGGAGAGCCCTGCGACACAAACAGCAAACCAGGAGATGCAACAAGCAAGAGGCGTTTATTGAGCGAGTGCGTACTCGGGTGTCAGCAATCTCAGGGGAAAGCTGCACACCTCTCAAAGGGTGTGACAAATCCTTGCTGAGTGCTTCATTTCTCAGAATACATCTGAGAACCTACACAGGAGAGACTTACAAATGTAGTGAATGTGACAAATCCTTTACCACAGAGGACCATCTTAAGAGCCATCAGAAAATCCACTCAGGAAGGAAGCCTTACAAATGTAGTAAATGTGACAAATCATTTACTAAGAAAGTGATGTTTAGAACTCATCAGAGAATACATACAGGAAAGAAAACTTACAAATATAGCAAAAGGAGAAAAATAATCTATTACCGAGGAAGGAAATCTTAGAACTCACCAGAGAATACACACAGGAGAGAAACCTGACAAATCCTTTAGCTGGGACTCATCTCTTAGAATTCATTACAGAACACATACAGGAAAAATTTTTATAAATATGGTGAATGTAACAACTCCTTAACCAGAAAAGGCAATCTCAGAACTCATCCAATAATACATACATTAGAGAAACTTTAGAAATGGAGCAAATGTGAAAATTCCTTTTTTTGTAGATTTGGCTCTTGGAATATGTTCTGGGATATTTGATCACACTGTGAAACCCGAATTTTAATTATATCAACCTTGGATTGGGGGCAGAACCCAGAACTAACTGATTGGAATTATCCATAGGAAGTAGGAAGGGTTATGAAAGACTGATAAGGCACACAGGAATGATTAGGGAGTGACTTGGAAGTTTGTGGTCTTCTGGTTTGAGATGTTTGGAGAAACTCTGTTTGTAAGTCATTTTGTTATTTCTTGGCCTTTCTGAACTAGCAGGTGTTACCTCAACATCTGACTCCTGAGTCTTTACTGGTAAATAGAACATGAGTGACTTAGTTAAAAACTACATGTTGGGTCATGGGGTCACAGTCAGGTGCAACTGCTAAGCTGATAGAAAAATGACATTAGTACATCAGAGAATACTTACTAAAGAGAAACCTTACAAATGCAGCGAATGTGAGAAATCCTTTACTATTTGCTTTTTTCTCAATACATCATGGAATTCATCTAGGAAAGAAACCTTACAAGTGTAGTTATCTTAGTTTGGGTTTTACTGCTCAGAAAAGATACCATGACCACAGCAACTATTTTAAAGGAAAATATTTAATTTCCTTTCAGAATAAAAGGAAATCAGAGATTTATACTCATTATCCTCACGGAACTCACTTTGAGTTTCTCTCCATTTAATTTGATGTTGGGTGTTGGCTTGTATATTGCCTTTATTATGTTTATATATGGTCTTGTGATCTTGATCTCTCCAAGAAAGGGTGCTGGATTATGTTCAAGACTTTTTTTTTTTTTTTTTTTAGCATCTAATGAGATGATCATGTGGTTTTTTTTTTTTTTTTGGTTTGTTTTTGTTTGTTTTGTTTTTTCTTTCAGTTTGTTTATTTGGTGGATTATGTGGAACCAACCCTGTATCTCTGGGATGAAGTGTACTTGGTCATGGTGGATGATTTTTTTTTTTTTTTTTATGTATTCTTGCGTAATGAGAACTTTCCTGCCAACCTGGTCCATAAAACACAGAGACTTCTATTAATTATGAAAGTGTTGCCCATTGGCTATGGTTTCTTATTGGTTAGCTCTGACTTAATTATTAACACATTTTCTATTAATCTAAGTATTTCCTCATGGTCTTCTCCTACTAGAGAAAGGTCTGGAAACTCCTCTGTCCTCCTACATGGTGACTGACTCAGTGTGTCTGCAAAGAAGAGAGAAATTTCTTGTTCGTCTCTGCTTACATTCTGATTCTTTCCAGCTACATCACTTCCTACCTGTCTACACAGACCTCAAGACATTTATGGTTAGTGATTAGCAGTTTCTGTCCAGCTACGTCACTTCCTGGGATCTCTTGACAACTCCTCTCTGCCTATATTTTCCAGAATCCTCCTCAAAACCTAGTCCCACCTATCTTCTTGGATCATTAGCCCCACATCTGACAGAAGGCTGCTCTCCAAAACACTCAAAGAAGTCAAGAAACTAGTCACCAAAAACCAAATAATGCAATTAAAATGTGGGGTACAAAACTGAATAGAGAATTCTCAATAGAGGAATCCAAAATGGCTGAAAGACACTTAAGAAAGTGCTCAACATCCTTAGCCATCAGGGAAACGCAAATCAAGGCAACTCTGAGATACCATCTTATTTCTGTCAGAATGGCAGACAAACTTCCTGTTAATAAAACCACAATTTCAACATCTTCGGGTAAAGCTATAAAGATAAATTCAGCCCTGGGGTGCTAATGGGCTGATTGAAATGAACACTCACATCCTGAGACACCCATTTCCTTTCAAAATCTTGAGTTCCTGAAACGTCTTTCTCCACGTGAATATTGCTAATCATGTAATTCTGGATACTTGGCTGGAAGTAGTGGAGGTCTGTGAGGGAAGGGTAGAGGTGGCCTTTTAGTGGCATCTCATTTGCATAGTGGTAGAAATTATTATCAGCTTTACAGCAAAACTCTCCAGAGTGAGTTACTGTGTCTGAAATTTAGAATATTTCACATAAGAGTAGAACGTGCTGCTGGAATTTCACTTTAACCTTTTACTTGCATGGAACATTTTGTTATTTTCTTGGGTCAAGCTATCCATACAGCTCCTCCCCCTTGTTTTCAAGCCTGATAGTTTGTCTCCTCTACCTGATCTCTTTGAATTATTATGTAGGCTTATAACATTTTTCATTTCTTGCTTCACTTCAGTTTGGGTTTTGTTTTGTTTGTTAGTGCTTTTTAGCTACTAAAGGTGGTAGACCTTAATTCCAGGGTCCTAATAGGCCAGTGGGAGAGCCCGGTGATACAAACACAAAAACCAAGAGATGCAACAAGCAAGAGGTGTTTATTGAACGAGTGCACTCGGATGACAGCAATCTCAGGGAAAGCTGCACAGCCCTCAAAGGGTCCAGGTTCTTTTTATAGAGAAGACCACAAATCAGCATACATGCATGGGGCACAAGTGATTGGTTATAAAGTATGATCTTATGTTTGAGAGATCACCCAGGTATGACCTGTTCTTATTCAAAAGATAAACCATAGAATGACTTGGAAAGTGCCAAGACTGTCTGTTGGCCAGGACTGACCCAGACAGGGCTGTTCATCTGGAATCATTTGTTCCAGGGTTGGGGGCCTATTTCCTTGTTGTGGGCCAAGACCTGTGAGAAACTTTTTTCTTACTCTGGCTTTCTCTTGGCTGTACATTTAGAGCCTTCAGTTATTCCACAAAGGTTTGATGATTCAGTAACTAGCCCTATTTAACAAGATCAGCCCACTAGCCCCATCGCCATAGTAACCCTTCTTGTTCTCATAATTTCTGTTCTTTCCTCCCATGTCAATTCCATTCTTTATGATTTTCTATATTCCTCTTGCAAGAAGTATTTTCTTGCCCCTTTCCCATATCCTTACTCTGCAAACTAAAATGTTTCACAGGAATTCATTTTTCGTGTCCTACATCGTTCTCATCTCCTTCAGGCATTTGTTAGTGTTTTCTTACCCATGAATCATTGTGTGTTCCAATCCTATTTGAGTTGATTTATGTATTTTACATGCTGTTACCTCCTTGAACATGACTCAGCTTTTTGAATTCTGTATATTGGATGTCATTTAAATTGCTCTCCTTAGGGGTTACAGATACGGTTTGTGATATGATCCAAAACCTCTTTTATCTAGTTTTAGTTTGTGTTGGGAATGGGACCTGAGCATTAGATTTTAGTAAGTTAGTTTACTTTTGCTGAGTGCTTTTATCCCAGGAGGCAGGTGTCCCAAGATGAGAAGTTAGGCGGGATAACTTGTGTCTTAAGGGTTCAGAGCTCACTGTGGGGTCAGATCCTGGATGCAGTTCTGCTCTAGGCTGGCAGCAAGCGTGTGGGGAGTCTGCGCAGAGCGGGTTCAGGGCAGCCTGACAGCGGCAGAGGGAGACAGAGTGGGAGGGACCGGTTCTGGAAAGGGCAGGGACGTAGCGTGATCAGAGGAGTTTATTGGGAAAGAATTTATGGAGTCGAGGAGAATTGGGAAACTAATAAAAAAAGCCCGCGATCGGATGGTGTACTGGAAAACACAAAATAGGAAGCGCGGTGTAGTGGGCGGGACGAGGAGGATCCGTTGCAAAGAACCGGACTGAAGGAACCGGAAGGTCCGCCATTCCTTGTTGGTCTCCGGGAGCTGCATGGTCCTGATCAGGGTAAGGAAGACCTGGCCGGGTCCTCGGGGACCTGAAAACTCCGGAGCCGCAGTCTCCGCGCGTGCAGCCTGGGAAAGTCACAGTCAGCAGCGCAGTGGCGGGAACCGCAGCCCGGCGGCCCTGGAACCTCCCAGGTGAGAGGAGCTGCATGGCTGGGACCCAGGAAGGAGGAGACCCAAGACCCGGGGTGCGAGCAGTTTCTCTGCTATCCATAAGGAAGCTGGCTGTGAGCCATTGCTGTGGGTGTCTTCTTCCTTTGTCGATAAATTTCTAATAATGTGACCTGGACAAATCCTGCTTTTTTTTTTCATTGATTTTCTGTTTGCCAAAATATCCTTGTAAGATGGTAAAGTTACGAATTTTAGGGGAGAAATGTTAATTCCATTGATTAATGTCAAAACTCTGAAATTTGAAATCAATATAACAATGGCATAAAGAGAGGTATAGAAGTCTGAATTTTTTTTTTTTGTGTACCTGAAATCATTTTCACTTGTTTTTTAAAAGTTGCATTTATATACCTTAAATCATCATCTCAGACCCTCACAGTTTACTCAAGCTTTCATATCATCATACCTATATTAGATTATTGGAATTGTATAACATATTTGAGCTTTCATATGCTTAGAACATTACAACTTGCATATCATTTCCCTGGACTCTCATACCCTGTAGAAGCTCCAAATTTCCTATAGCGTGAAGCCTGTCAGTTATTCAGTAAGGAACCTAGTCTCCCTAGAAAAGGAAGGAATTATATTAACTATTAAATATGAATTGGAATGACATGGTAGCTATGTTCTTGCTGTTGTTAAACTCACTAGCTACAATTGGCTACCAACATCATTGGAGATATGTCAAGAATAACTTTGTGTAGGAAGTGTAATACAAATGGCCTCTGTATCAATTAAAATGACAAATGCACACTTAGTTACTCTAGGCTCCTCTATGATGTTTTTGGGGACATAGTTCACCAGTCTTATACAGGCAGTCATAAAAGACATTGTTAAGCCTTACCTTGCTACACAGAGCAGCTTGGTCATCAGCTGCCAGAAAATCTGAGAGAATTTTTCTATATATGAGGAACTTGAGAAATTCACATTACCTGGATGTAATCCCAATGAAGCTCATTGGATCAACAAGTTTGACATAAGTGTTATCCATAATAATTTCTGTTGTCAGCTTTCAGTTGAATAGATGCATTTGCATCACCCTAGGAAAACAATTCTCATCCAACATGTGCTGACACCACTTG